AGCAACCACGAGGACAGGCAGTCCTGGGGTGTTGCGCATTTCCTCAATGGCTCTTGTGACAAGTGCCGGAATGACGATGTCCGCGACATCAGGGCGGAAGTGGAGATTCTTGGAGTTGTAGAGCCATTCTACCCCTCCTACACCAGGCATCTGTGCCAAATCCATGATTTCCTGATTGGGCAGGTTCTTGTCCGCAAATCCATATTGGACCCTGCCGTCTATCAGGTAGTCATAATTGATTTGCTTCTCCGGGCGCAGGCTTCTTGACAGCGGAATGAAGCGAACGTTGATTTGTCCGTCAAGGTGGCTCTCCAAAATGGAGGCCACCGGCTGACTCTGAACTGCCGCCTTGAATTTGCGCGGCCCGAAGAGGCCAAATTGCCAGTGGAGGAGCTCCATGATGGAGGGGACGCTGCCGGCAGAGATGTTGAGGGCGGCGCCGGGACAACTTAAGACCTGTCCCGTCAGCAGTGGGAACACTCCGTACGTGTGTCCCCGCAGCATGTGCTGCAAAGTGCTGTCACTGAGCACCAGAAAGGGTCCCAAACTGGGAGGGTTGTCCATGGTCTCAGCTTTAGCTGATGGGCCAGAGTCTGTGACACGCGGCCAGGAGGTGAGCTGTGCTCTTCGCGGAGTCGCAGTTTGTTCCGAAGTTTTAGCTTCTGCAAGGCATGTCTTTAGTGCAAGCTGCGGTACTTCTGCTGTTGCTTACTGTATCGACAGTTCGAACTGACAGCTGCGGTATGCATGCACAGCATTTCAGAGTCTTGTGACCAAGCACGAAGCTCAGGCAACGCAGGACAACTGGAGACAAAGAACATCAGCAGAGGGCACGCGAGCAGGGACTGCTGGTGCCATGTGGTAGCTGAGACCTCGGATCGCAGGATAGAGCAAACGATGATGCAGCAGTAGCTGGGTTCTGGCATGCTGCAAGGTCAATTTCTCTGGGCAGGTGGGCAACACATCTCATACTGTGACGAGCTGGGTGGCTGTGCCACACCGGATCGGAGGCTGTGCCACATTCCTTGCATGAGTCAGTGACCTCCCTGTGGCTCACAAGTGCTCAGAAAAGACTGTAGTAGTGGTCATAGAGAACACTGGATACCTCTTCGTCTCTGCTGATGGTTGCCGTTGGCCCGACTGGGTTGAGGGGGTTCCGGAACTTCTGCACCACGACCTGCTTGCTGTGCTGAATGTGGATGGTGAGCTCTTCGGACGCGAGGTGCCACTGGGGCGTGTCAAAAGACTGGACCATGACACGTAGGTCAAGAAACATAGCTGCCCTGGCCGTGCGGTGTGGACTTACAAAGAGCTTATGCTGAACCAGGGAGAGCACTGCTGCGCACCAGGATCTGCTAACCGACGCCATTGAAATGGCCGTCAGCAAGTCTGGTTGCGGTATCGCCAGTCTGACATGGACGCCCTGCTGGTCGTAGTCCGTGTCTACGTACCGTTGCACGAAGACAGCTAGGCCTTCATGTAAGCAGCGGAAGGCCCAGAGGCGTGCTTGCTCCTGGATCTCGTCCCTGAGCCGCAGTATGGGAACGAGAGTGCTGGGGGGTCTGTATGCAGCGATTTCAGTTTCCAGCATTTCCCTGTCCAAACCGTAGTCCGAGTAGAAGTCCACAACGACCACTTCGGGAATGATGAAGGAAAGAGCGCGGCGACATGATTCGGTGCATAGAAAGGATAACATCCACTATGGTTGGCAGGGCAGCTGAGAGCAAACCGAGAAATGACTGCAGAGAATCCTACTTTTAGCACGAACCAGTGAGCTGCAACGCTGAGCCGCAACGCTGAACGGATTTGCCTTTTTAAGAGTAGAAAAGCCCGGCGCGTCTCATGGTCTGTGACCAAATGGCTGGAGGCTGTGCCATCTGACCTAAAGAGGGCGACGCAAGACTGAGGTCGGAATGAAGTGCACCTGCTCATAGTGGACGCTGATGGCCTCCCTCGAGAGGGTGCCAGCTTGATCCGGCAGAACTTCAATGAACACTCCTGCTCCTTGCTTTCGCAGATGGATGTAGGCTCTCCACACCCCAATCCAGGGTTTGCCGTCTATGAGTCGAGCGATTTCGGAGTACCACGCACGGCAGACCGCCGCAAGCGGTATAGCCTGTAGCAGATTGAGATTGACAATGCCGAGCTGAGCATGCACTCCATTGTGGTCGATCCTGAGTGTGTCGCCGATAATGGAGTACTGCGAGAAGGGGCCCGTACGAGCCCAACGTAGAAGTAGATCCCGTAGACGATCACGCGTGGCACGAGCTTCATCATGAAGCAGGTCCAGATCGTTCCAGTAGGAGGCGGGGTAGGGCGAAGCGTCGTAAGTGTCAAGAGTGAGTACCCCTGGGAGTAGGTGTTTCATAGCGTGGCGCAGGGAGAGCTCATCCATGGCAGTTAGGAGACTCTTAGAGCCAGCTGACAGAAACTGGCAGGCGGCAGAGGGCGTGCCGAGAAGTAACTCAACTCAAAGTGCACGCCCTACGAACTCCTACTGGTACGGAGGATGCCCAGTTTTTCAAGCCGAGAGCACTGTTGCTGGCTTCAAAAAGTTAGACTCCTTAATGGCACATTTCGTCCTGTTGCTCGGTCTCATTCTGCAGGTCATCATAGCTGTCAAAGAGGAGCGCATGCCAGGCGTTGAAGCCCGAGGCGCGGTAGGCAGCGGCGGGAGCTGTGCGAGCTAGAGGTGAAGTGAGGGTCTCGACCGGCAATCTGAACGCCATCGAGACCGGGAGGCAGAAAATGTCCTGGCCTTCACGAATCGACACTGAGCCTGACTTGCGCAAGCGTGACATCGCCACCAGAAGTTCCACTGTATTGATACGACTACTACTACTACTACTACTACTACTACTACTACTACTACTACTACTACTACTACTACTACTACTACTACTGCTGTACTACTACTAATACTACTACTACTACTACTACTACTACTACTACTACTACTACTACTACTACTACTACTACTACTACTGCTACTACTGCTACTACACTATTACAACTCTCGCTCTCACTCTCACTCTGACTCTTACAATTACGTAGTACTGGTACTGTTGCCAATAATACACTGATACTAATACTCATATACTGATGCCAACTACTATCCACTCATTGCTAAGCCGATGTGCGCGCCGAGCGCGCGTAACATCAATACTAATACTAAGACTAGATGATAATACTAGCTACTAACCCTAAACCCTAAACCGATGCGTGCGCCGGGCACGAGCCGAACTTCGAATTATCAACAAATTGCAAACTACTATAACCCTTACTGAACCCATAAACCGATGCGCACGCGCAACACTATAATTAAGACTCACTGCCCAGCTTTTGTTCCTGCGCAGGCTAGAGTTGTTTAGCGAAACTCGGGAACGAGACCGAGATTAAAAGTCTTACAAGTCAGGCGCCTAGAATTACAAGTCAAAGGTATCTAGGCGCTCTCGGTCTTTTGGCCGAGGAAGTGTCCCTGAGCTCTTTTAACTTCGTAGATTTAGGGAAAAAGTTTTTCCCATGTTTACATTACATTAGAAAACAACGAAAGATGTTGGTTGCTGTCTTTGTTGGGACACAACCCAGGCTCTATCCTAGGCTCAAAAGAAGAAAACGGGCCAAGCCCGGAAGGACCACGAGCCGCAGCCGCAAAGCAAGAAGCTGTCGTTGTCCTGGGCTGGGCGGGTGGGACCCAAAAGTTGCGACTAAGTCAAACGCTGGTGTTCGTCTTAAACTACGAAGGCGTGAGATCTAAGACTCACTGCCCAGCTTTTGTTCCTGCGCAGGCTAGAGTTGTTTAGCGAAACTCGGGAACGAGACCGAGATTAAAAGTCTTACAAGTCAGGCGCCTAGAATTACAAGTCAAAGGTATCTAGGCGCTCTCGGTCTTTTGGCCGAGGAAGTGTCCCTGAGCTCTTTTAACTTCGTAGATTTAGGGAAAAAGTTTTTCCCATGTTTACATTACATTAGAAAACAACGAAAGATGTTGGTTGCTGTCTTTGTTGGGACACAACCCAGGCTCTATCCACGTCCCCCTTGTGTCGCTTCGCGATCAAGTCGCAACTGTTTATGGTACCACTGAAAAGGCAAAGCCAATGGTTTGGAAGTAACGTCAAAGCGCATCAGCGCAAGGGAAGCCATGGCATCATTCAAATAGATGCGGGCGGTGCGATCGGAACTCCAACGCCCAAGCTGACGGACAGCGTCAAAGGAGGGGTTCTTCTGAAAATACATCGTGGCTCCACCACGACGCAAACTGTAGGGACGAAAACCCCACTGGCCAAGCTTGAGACGCTCAAGTCCGTCTTGAAAGTGTTTGCGGAAAAGGTAGGGCGAGAAAGGGATGAGAAAAGTAGAGGGGGAAACACTTTGTTTCCACTGTGCCAAAGCACGACAAACAGGGCCAACACGGAGAGTTACGGAATCGTCTGTTCCGCTCCTCTGAGAAGTCTTGGTGAGGCCAAGATTGAGGACAGCAAAGTCTTGCCGTGGGCTTATCTGTATTTGGCAAGCTTGCAAGGAAAGGAGTTCGCCTGTGCGCAAAAGAGCATAAAAAGCAACCTGGACTCCAAGTGACATGTCCGATTGCTTGCGAAGAGAGAAAGCTCCAGACAGAGCCTGAAGCAGCTCTTCTGGTAGTGGTGCGGCCCTGGTTGGCATTTCGTTCTTTTGCCAGGTCTTGACCAACCTCCAAGAGAGAGCCAGACAGCCCCTCAGACTAGGCCTCAGGTCCTGGAGCCCGGACAGCCCGTCAGTCACGGAGGAGATACTCTCTCCCTCTTCCCATAAAAACTCTATATACTCAGAAAACAAAGAGTCCAGAGCTGAAGGCTCATCAGGAACATGCCGTCGTTGCAGCTTGGTGAAAAGAAAAAACTGGCGAAGTGCTGAGTCATAGCGTGCTCGGGTCTTTGGCTTGACAGTGAGAGACCTGAGAGGCCCCAGAGTTTTTCGGCTTGCTTTGCGATCCTGCTTCGTCCGACCTTGAACGATCGTCTTCATTTTACCCATTTTTTGCGGACGCGGGCCCTTCGACTGGGCCGGTCGGCTGGGTTCGACTTGGTCGAGACATACGCAGGGATCAAATGCAAGCCGGTCGCCAACACTAAAGAACAGAGACGGTACATCAACGTTTGTATCTTTACAGAAGAGCTTCGCCCACGGTTCAAAACGTGCAAACACACCATAGAGTCAGTAAGGTGGAGAAAACGAACGCGAAGTTGCTTTTGACGAAGAACACGCCACCGAATGGTCGTATAGATCGCGCGAAGTTCCAGGCGATTTATGTGGTCATCACATGGTCCCCACTTCCAACCGCAGATTTCCCGCCAGGTCCAAAGGGATGCTGGTATGGAATTGCGAAACTTCTGGTGGGAACGAGCGCTGGAACCAACCGAAACCAAGAAATCCTCACCTTTGCTCGAAACTTGCGTGAGGAGCTTGCGAACTAGGGTTTCTTCGCTGGAGCTGGGCACTCGAGTTTGATGAAGCGCCCTCCAAGAGAGGAGAGCAGCTCCATGCTTGAGCGCGTGCCCCGAAAGAACTTGAAGTAGCTCTTTCAAGCTAGTGACCAAGCAAAGCCCGAGAGGCGCAAGGAGGTGAAGAAAGAAAAAAGCCACGACTGAGACGCTCGAAGTGTTTCCCAGAAGGGACAGGCGGGTATCATCATGGTAAACGGGAGATCTCTTTGTATCAGTCTTGTTCAAGCAGTTGTAGGTGTAGTCAACGGGAAAGCCCAAAATGCGCTCTCGCTCCCGCGCGTTGGGAGGTCGAGCTTCATCTTTGCGCCACAAAAGGTGACGGTCCAAATATTGGAAAGGTGGAAACCGGAAGCGATCGCCCTCCCAGCGTTGTTTTTCAGCTTGACCGCAACGATGAATCCCTGCTGCTGTGGGGTTGGCTGAGGCCGAAGGCTGTGGAACAGTGAACGCTGGAAGATGAGTGGCATCTGGATGCAGCTTCCATCCTTTCTCAAGGAAGTGCGATGGATCCGCAGGGAATTCGAACCGAATGTTGCCATAGCAAGAAGGGTGAGAAGAAATCGGTGGATGAAGGACCACACCCTCTTCGCAGCATAGGCCCCAATCAAACCAGTAAAGTCTTTCCCGACGGCATAGAGAGAGACCACCAGCACAGGCTCGGTAGGGAAGGACTTGACTGGATCGGGTGTGGTTTTCACGGTCTGAAACGTCCATTGTGAAAAAAGATTCGTGAAAGAAGTGGACCGGGCATCTCAACAAAGAAAGGGTAGCCCCGACATACTTAGCCAGCTTATCCCCTTTGGGCCGAGACGTCCCAGAACAACCATCAATCTCTGCACCTTGGATCTCCGCAAATGTAGCCCGCCTGACAGACTTCTTTGGGTTCAACGGAACCCCCCAGTGAAAGTACTCTTCAAGAATGGGTTCCAAATCTGGTGGGGTACTTCCTTTGATGATGGATGCAGTCTCGGGGTTCTTTGTTTCCAGGAGGTCAAAGTTGTCGAGGTATACTCGCCATAGAGGATTTGCCAGTGATGCTGGCCTATCTTTGCGCACCTCAGCGCTGCCCACCTCCTTGGGCTCGTGAGATAAGGTTTCGGTGGAGATGTTGAGCCACTCCCACCGAGTTGAGGTATCCCATCGGCAAGACCTTCGAACAAAGATAACAAGGCTCATCGACATGTGGTGGGACCAGATCCGGAGGAACTGCCCTGTTGAAGCTCAGCAGCGGGAACCACTGCTCGGGAAGCGCAAACAGGTAGAACATGCATCGCAAGTCTTCGCTCGAAATAACCAAATGTTCATCAGGATGAAGCTCCAAGCTGTTCATTTGGCTCAATAAAGGCAGGGTGCCCGTGTCGCCGTCCACCGGGATGGATGCAGAATTGATGGGAATCAAATTCATGATGAGTCGGTGGATGTCGTGTCCATTGGCCTGCTCCCCTTTTTCAACACCGAAAAGTCCGTTCTGGATAGGTTTTCCGTTGGCATGTAGCAGGGCGCTTTCGGGTAATACGCAACAAAGGTTGTAGCGAACCAACCCCGACACCAAATCAGACCAATCTTCTTCCCGAACCATAACCTTCGATGACTTAATCGCTTGTCCCTCAAATCCCGGTTTGAGAAAGCGCTGTGGGTCCAGGAGCAGCTCGCGAACGCCCCCATCGGCCAAATCCACCGCTGAAATAGACCCAATATGCCCAAAGGGAAGTGCTGGTTCCACATTCGCCCAGCTGGTCCACTTTGCTACCTTCACCTCCTCTCCCGAATAGCTGATACCACGCACTTGAAAAAACTGTTTCCAATCAATGGGTTCTATACGAAAAGTGTGCTTTGTGAAAAGTTGAATTCTGCCTCGAAGATAATCTAAAATACCACGCTATGTTTCTGTACCAGGCCCTATACTCATGCGGACTCGTTGACCACCATGCATGTAATTAAGGCTGAGGATCAAGAAAACCATCCAAAGATCATCAGAGTGGCTTTCTTGTTGTTCAAGGGCCCGAGCTGGGTGCATAGGCAGGGGCAGAGGGAAAACATCCACTTTTCCAGATAACCCCTCAGCCATCAAACCTTCTAGCCACTCGCAGGATTTAACCGCCCAATAGCCGAAGGAACTCGAAGAACTTCTGCCTAGCACCTGCTCCAAAAGATAACGTCCCAAAGAATCTGAAGTGAAACCAACCTCAAGGCTCAACGACTGTTGGCCACGATTGTGATCAGGGCACTTTGCCCCAGGATTGCCACCGCAGCTCCGCGTAGCCTCTCCTTGAGAGCCGGCGGCCAAACCCCCAACCCCTACCCTCCTAGGAAGAGGAGAGCCGGGGTTAGGAAGTTTCAATGCGGGCGCATCGGTTCGGTGCGGAGGGCTCCTGTCCCCTCCTTGCCTTTGCCTCCTTTTCCTCCGTCTTTCCCCTTGGTGGCCTTCCCTTTCTCTCCCCCTTTCGGGGTCCATCCCTTGAATCCTTTCCCCAAGTCCCTCTGAACCTTGAAATCGCTTTTGAATACTCTCGCTGCCTCCTGTGCCTCCGCTACACTGCTGATCCTTTCTTGGTCTAGAGGAACAAGCTCGATGTTCTGGGCCACCTGCCATGACGCCCCGTTCAACACGAGTTCGATGGCCTTCAATCTTTGTACCAGAAGATCGGCACAACCTAGAAGATCCCTCTGCACTAGGCGGTCTAGCCCATGAACCAAGGTCAATACCTCTCTCTTCTGTCCTGGCGAAATGTTCTTGGTGAAAAGATGGAGCCGGCAATACTTCAGGAAAAGGGGCCTCACCTGATCCCCTCTTTCGTCCCCTAACGCCTCCACCATCAAGCGACTTCTCTCCTCTAAGGCGTGACGGGTCAATGCGCCGGGAATCTTCTGCGATAACTTGTGCACGCGATGGCTCTCTCGAAATGGATGCCCGCTGTCTTGGGAGTCTATGCTTCTGCTTCCGCTGCTGTTGCTCCTGCTGCTGCTCTCCTCGCTGGTGCAATCCCTTCTCCTGCTCTTTCCTCCTCGCTTCTTTGATTTCTTCCTTTTCCTTCCTCGCCTCAAAGCCTTCTTCAAGCTCACTCGGGGATCTAAGGGAGTCTCGAGAAATGATCTGTTCCCGGTTTTCCGGTCCTTCTGCACATCGGCGGCGTCGGGCGAGGGGGCTCTTTTGTCTTCTCGGGGGACTCCTCTCTCTTCTACAAAACGCTCGAGTTCCTCGTGCAAGTTCCCTTTCATTGCTGGGGAAGCACTCCTCAAGTCCGCGATGTTGTGAATCCAGAGCGCTTCGGGATCTAAGGCTACCAACATGCTTCCATGAAGAAGGTCTTGACTCAGGTTGGCCTTTCGGCAACCTGCGGGGCAAAGGTGAACAAGTAGCTCTCCGACCTCTCCTCCTTTGATTGATGTGCCACACCATTTGACCAACTCCTGGTTATCGGAGCCCTTCAGGACGAGATGGAGGAAGGCACCGGACTGATCAATAGTAATGCGGTCCAGCTTCCCACAACCCAGAGTTTGTTTGCCCCAGTAGTCCCCCAGAATACAATAATCGGATCCCGGACTCCAAAATCTCAAAGGTAGGCTGGAAATAGGCAAGGACTCCCCTTTGTCAAGCCGCCCCTGATAATCAAAATCCCGACCTTTACCAAACAGGCGAAGTCGTTTACCACCAGTGCCTTGTTTCCTCCTCCTTAGGATACTAGGCTTTTTCTGAACTCTCCCTCCCATAAGGATTCACTGCTGTCGAGAATCAATCCAATTCAGCTCTCTCCGAAAGCTCACTTCCAGACTGCTCCAGTGGATCCAGGCGTGTGCGCACCAGGGTTCCGCGAGCTTCTTGAAAGCGCACTCTGTTGTGACCACGATTCTTCTTGTAACGCTTTCTAGGGGCAGAGGCTTCGGCAGCAGTGCTCTCAGGAGGATTTCTATGGCCGTCACGATCTACCCTGACGTGTCTAGGCGGGGGTCCGCTAGGCTCAGGTGGCTTAGAGGCTGAGGGTTTGATGCTCTGGGCAAGGCTCTGCTCAGGAAGCTCTGGGGGTTCTACATAATCAGCCGCGGGACCCCCAAAGCGATTCGTCTGCCACTCCCTAAGCTTCCCGCTGAGGAGCCTAAGCTCTCCGACGATTCTACCGTGATGCTCTGGGGAAATCAGGGTGCAGATCCCGCGCAGCCGATCAAGTTCCCTACACACAGCGCAGCTTACCTGGCCTGAAAACACCCTCGGCTCTACGCAAGGATCAACACCGCACCAGTAGCACTTCATACTAAGCCCAGGCTCCTTGACCCAAAAGTTGCGACTAAGTCAAACGCTGGTGTTCGTCTTAAACTACGAAGGCGTGAGATCTACTACTAACCACTCACTACTAACCCTAAACTTACCCTAAAACTATAAACCGATGTGTGCGCCGGGCGTGAGTGACACTAATACTACGTACTACTTCAATTCTCGTACTATATAGTACTGATACGAGTACGAATCTAGAACGACGAACCGTCAACCCCTAAACCGATGCGTGTGCCGGGCGAGCGTAACCCTAAACCCTAAACCCTAAAACCCTAAGCCCTAAAACCCTAAACTCTAAAACCCCAAGCCCTAAAACCCTAATTCTCTCCGAAGCTTTGCCCCACAGCGGCTGACGGGCCACTCTTTTTACTCATGGCTGCGCGCCAATCGTGGTGGAAGAAAGTTCATAACATAGCCATCGGCACATCAGGCTAGCCGCACAAATCAAAAGATGACAAAGCTCTCAAGGATTGCGGGCTCATCGGCCAGCAAATCTGCAGATAGCCTTCTCAAAATCAAGCTCAGCCTTGCGGTGGAGGGGCGGTGGTGGACAACTTGAACCCAGTTGCCGAAGTGGGGCCCACGCATGTATCAGCTCTTCAGCGAGAACTTCCACCTGAGTGACAGCACTGCAAGAATCTTCCTCTCATTCTCTCCGAAGCTTTGCCCCACAGCGGCTGACGGGCCACTCTTTTTACTCATGGCTGCGCGCCAATCGTGGTGTAAGAAAGTTCATAACATAGCCATCGGCACATCAGGCTAGCCGCACAAATCAAAAGATGACAAAGCTCTCAAGGATTGCGGGCTCATCGGCCAGCAAATCTGCAGATAGCCTTCTCAAAATCAAGCTCAGCCTTGTCCCCCACCCCACCCCAGACCTGGGGCATTGCGAAGTTGCAGGGCCACCAGCACCAAGGTGATCATGTCCATGGGGCGGGCTGGGAGGGCAGCTGGAGGCGCAGGTGGCGGAGCAAACGCCGGATAGACCGGCGGAGCTGGTGCTCCTGGCATCGTCATTGGAGGATGCCAGTCGGATGTCAACCCAAGCTGGACGCTCAAGAAGTGCACCAGCTGAGCTTCAATGTCCCCTGTGATCTCCAAGATCTGAGTGAACAACTCACGAGCCAAGTGCGAGATGAGGGCCGAGAGGGCACGGAGTACCAATCGCACCATCAAGCCGAAGACGAGCGCCGTCACCTTGGGAAAGAGGACCATGAGCATGAGCCCCAGGAGAGTCCACTTGTTTATCCAGGAGTACCGCGGCCACCACATCGAGGAAGCCGCGGCAGTTGAGGGATCTACCCTCAGCGCTTGCACCGGCCGGGGGCGCACCGGCTGTGGCCCATTGCGCGTCGAAGCGCGCTCCGTGGAGCCCGTCGTCCAAGACTGCAGTGAGTTGACCAAGCGAGCAAGGGCCGCTGTGATGCGACGGCGGGCATCTCCCGCCCTCCATCGTGAAGCTGAGTCCCTGCTGTGTTGATCTTGCAGAATCTCCGCAGGAGTCAAGCCCTGATCCACTTCATGCTCCCCCAAACTTTGAGCCGCCGACTGCGCCGCCTGCAACAAGGTTGAGGCCGTCACATCTACAGCTTGAGCTGTGGGCAAGGATGGTTCGGATGAACGGAATTCCACAGGTCCATGGCGGCCTCCACTGAGTCGACGCGACGGAGTCGGACGTGAGAGGTGCACAATCGCCCGCTTGGAAGGCTTGCTTCGAGCGTCTTCCAGGTTGTCATGATCCATCCCACCCGGGTAGGCTGCAACGGATTCTCCAGAACCACGTAACAGTTCACCGAGGAGTTGCGCACCACGGCCGAGGCTGGCACGTGCTCAAGAGGCTGGGCCGCAGGAGGTTGCACCCGGCGAAGCGGGTCCCTCTCAGTCGCCGCTGCTCTTGCTTTTGCACCGCCCACGCGTGACCAGGAAGAAGACGAACCTGCCAAAGAGGGAGCCGGCGACGTCGCCCTAGACGAAGTACTTCCGCGCCCTGGCTGGCTAGCCCGACTTTCCTTTTGCTGCTCCTCCTGTTCCGCCTCCTGGAGCGCGTCCGCGAGCTCTCGCAGGGCCCGCTGCAGCCGCTCACCCATGATGCGAGCCGAGGAGAAACTTGAGCGAATATGGAGGCGGTGCACTCAGGAAGTGGCTATGCTGCAAGACCATGCGCACTCGCTCTTTGCTAGATGCAGAGAGCTGAGCATCCCCCTGGGCTGCCCACGCCTCGTGCAAGTAAAAGCGTAGTGTTTCCGACCTGGCCCAACGTCCATGATACTGAAGGCGTGCCAGATTCTCATGAGCTCGAAAATGGGCCGTAGCTCCACCTCCTCTCAGGCTGCCCAAGGTGTAGCCTTTCTGGTCTGCACCCAGAGCTGAGAGACCTGCCGTCAGAAGGCGGGCCCACTCTCGACGCCCCAGCCTGAACAATTTTCTGCCTGATGGTACAGCATCAAGCCACCACACCATCCATTTGACCAAACGCGGTTCCTTCACAAGGACAAACTGAGTGTGGTAAACCCGACGTGTTTTGGGCTGCCGAATCGTCAGGATGAGGCCTTCATCGGCAGCGGTGAGGCTATCCAACGGCAGATCAATGTCACCTGCTCGCAATTGGCAAAGTTCACCTGGCCGAAGCAGACCTTCAAAAGAGAGCCAAGCTGCCAGCATTGCTGACCACCACCTCTCGCGAGCACGGCCCACCTCGGCGTTGCCACGAGCCAAAGATACCACCAGGAATGCATGCAACAGTGAAGACGAGATCGGCACCCTGGATCGCACTGGTTGTAGCGCCCGCCACCCCCGAAGAGCTGACCAGGTTGAGCGCAATAAAGGACCAGCAATGTTAAGGATGCGCTGCACACCTAGTACTCCAAGTCGAACCCGGTAGAGCTTCTCACCTGTGCGATAAGCGTGGTCCACGCAGCGTTCCAGCCACCGGTCCACAAGGCCTGGAGACGACGAGCGCCGCAAAGGCGCCCCCAAAGCAAGAGCCATCGAGAGGAGCCACGCACCTGCCTCCCGAAGCCCTCTGCGATACTCCGAACTAAGCGCAGCATTTCGGAGGCGACGAGGCCTCCTTCCAGCTGCGGTAGGCATTGGCGAGCTCGACACAGAAGCCCCACGGATGATCGCACCTTTTGGCACTCGAGCCTCGAACCGGGATCGGGTGCACATGCTTCTGAGCACAGCGTCGGATCACTGAACCCAGCCACGGAGCATTGGACAACACCACACTCTGTGCATTCCCCACTGAGAGATCATGCCCGTGTTCCCCATACATGCACCAATCCACTCTATGTTTGATCATCCCTGCACGGTGTTGGAACAGCTCAGTGTCCCGCAAGGCCCAAGCCAAACTTTTCCTCGGATGCTCCAAGAAGACGAACACTCCGTGGTCGAGAGCGACCTGGGCCAAGTACAAGGAATGCCGCCACAAAAGATTGCCCCACCAGGTCCTCGGGTCTGCCTCGTCACCTTCTGGCTCCCCTTTTGGTCGTATCGCCGGTCCGGCCTGGGCACACCACCGACGATTGAAGCCCTTTGAAGGAGGAGCCAACCACAGCCAGGCCACCTCGCGTCGACGAAGCCGGGCCTCAATGTCCGAGTCGAAGACGTCACAACCTAAAGTAAAGTCGATCGGCTCCAGCATCGGTAACCCCAGAGCACGATGCGCCTCTGTCATTCGCCCCGCTCGGGAAAACACCTCTAGGCCGGCACCTGCACGCCAAGCGTCCACACCAAAACTCTGCAGCCAAGGAGGGGCCGGCACTGGGGCCGGCAGTGACTCGAATCTAGAAGGAGCGTCTGCCCTGTTGGATTCAGTCTCAACCCACAGCAAAGCCAAGGTGATATTCGCAGCAGTCAGATACGGTAACATGGTCCGAAGAAGCCCGTTCAACTTATAGCTGGAGGAACGCCCCTTCGTCACCGCTCCGATCACTACCCGGCTGTCGTTAAGGCACAGCTTGATCAGCCCTTCCCCCGAGCTCCTTGATGCCAAACGAACAATTTCTCGTCGAAGAGCACGTAACTCCTGAAGATTAATATGGGACGTCTGGCGGAACGAGTAGGAGCTGATGACGGACCAAGGCAAGGACTCGGCCACCGCACTGGCAAACTGGGAGGGCGCCGCAGGAGGCGCAATACTCGAGAGGAAGCCTTCACTCCGATCCAACCGCACCGGCTCACCCCGAACTTCTGACCTACGCCAAAGCTCGTCCGCTAAAGCCTCAGAGACCAGGGCCGTGACCGCACCTCCCGAAGTCGGAGTCGCATCGGTCGCCAGCACCTCCAGGTCCAGTCGTTTCCGCATGGAGAAATAAGCGAAAGGAAGGTGCAGGGCAAAGCTACGCAACTCGTCAAGTACATGGCCTGGAATACGTCGCCACTTCAGTTTCGGGAGGTTTGCCATGAACTTGTAGATGTGATGCTGCAATGAGTACATCTCCCTCCGAAACTGAAAGACAAACGAAACATAGCCAACAATTCGTTGCAACACTTCACGAGTGCACCAGCCCAAGGACACCACCTTGGCCAGGAGCGCCCACAGCTGTTGACGCACCTCCATGGGTGCACCCACTGTGCCCTTCACCCCCTTCACTTCAGCACCCCATGCTTTGAAGTCCACGATCTGGTTGAACTCCTTATGCACTGCCCGCTGCAGCCCGGCCTCCTCGTAGCCGGCGATCGCGGCGCGAATGGCCCGCACATCCTCATCGGATTCCTGCGGCTCGGGTGGCACAAAAGTTCCATCCAAAGGCACTGGCTCAGGCACCGTACACCGCAGCGCAACCAGCAGGTCATCGAGATAGGCTCCGGTCCAGAGATCCTGCTCGGGCACCGGTTTCCCATACACAAGGATGTTGTCATCACGAAGCACGCCGCGCCTGCGGAGCACCTCCTCATGCACAGCCTGCGCGATACAGCATCCGTTGACATCACCCATCCCCAAAACCCGAAAGCATAAGCGATACGCAATACGAGGATCCCCGCCATGTCGCCGGACAACTTCTCGTGAGACCCGACGGCCGACTGAATTGAACCTGAGCCAACCATCAGGAAGCATAAGGCTGTAATAATAGTTCCGGAGATCCTGGCCCGAGCCCCGCAGGTACTGGTTGGGCTTCAGCAACATCCTGGTGAAGCAGGCACCGTTCGGCAACTGTGCCCACCGCAATCGCTCCATTGTCGCATTCTCTGGTCTTCTGTCAAAGATCAACCGGTCTTCAAGCTCGTTCTTCGGAACACTAAACAGACCTCCACACATGAGCCGCCCCGCCTTGTCACGAGGGAGCTGCTCCTCCGGCACCAGCACCGCCATCTTCGACTGAAGCAAGTGCTCAGCCAAGGCCGCCTCTTCACAAGCAGGTACCCGATGACAGGCCACCACAACATCACTCCACGCAAACTCTGGCTTGCGAAGCTCGTGAAGCTGCCTAAAGATCTCGACCCGGTCAGGCGGCAACCACTTGCATGGATCCACGGTGCCAGCCTCCTTGGGAATGGCCACACGGGCCGCAACAACCGGGAGAGCCCCGGCCACCTCCTGAGCAGCAACCTGACCGACCAAAGCTGAATAACATGCACCCGCTGTACATCGGACTCGCTCGAGCATACTCTCAATGGTGCCTCTCTTGCCTTCACAGGAAAGGTTTCCCAAAGCTAAGTCCAAAGTTGTGAATTCCTCCACCTCGCCGAGCAGCCTATCAGCAAACACCCTCGCATCTGCCATGTTGTAATAAGCTACTCGCGGCTCAATGCAAGCTCCACGCATTGAAGGGCAGCCCAGCGCCACGAAGTTGCCCCAACAAACCCAAGTATTCACAAAGGTCTTGGCAAACCACTTCTTCGCCGGCTCGGCCTCCAGATGCACACCTTCAGGGAGGATCACCTCCGGGTACGGGAGCATGCTTGGGAAGAGCGGAGCATCTTGAGAACTGGACCGTTCCAGCAACATACCTTGAGCGCGCTCAAACCAAGAAACATAATCGGAAAACTTTGAATTCGGTCCTTTCAGGACGGGAGCCTCCAAAGCTCCCCCCCCACATGCAGCATGTTGTCTCGGGTTCACTTCCGAGCAGGTCCGCCCTGCTCCTCCTCCTCTGCCTCTCCGTGGCCGGTCTGGTGAGCTTCTCGCACCTTCTTCTTTAGGTCGTGCAAGGCCGACAGGTAGGAGCTGACCACCGACATTTCCTGTTTGGAGCCGGCGAACTCCCGCCTGGCCAATGGATCCGCCAGCCCTGTGAGGAGCCAAGCCGCCTGCCAGTCGCCCATCTGGATCACACTTTGCTGTTTCGCTTTCAAGTTTTGGATCACCTGGGCAGCCGCGGCGTCGGGACGATTGGCCCTCAGCAACTCGTACACTGCTACATCCATCCAAGCGCAACGGTAAATCCCTTTGAACTTGCCCCAGCTCTGCTTTCGAAGGAAGTCCTTCAACGTCCAGGCCTGGCCTTTCACCACGCCGAGCTCCTCGATAACCTCGCGCTCGAACTCCTCGCAGATCTTGCCCGGCTTCTCCATGATCCGCCGGTGCATCTTCTGCAGGGAGGCGATCGCCTTCATGCCGTCCTTTCGCTTGCCCAAATCGTCGTCGCTTGAGCTCTCGGAGTCCAAGCCACCAAGGGGATCCAAGGAACCGGAGGCCTTTGATCTCCGCTTCTTTCGCTCCCCGCGGTCCCGGTCGAGCATCATGGCCATCATCATCATCGGCATTAGGTCGTTGGCGGTCTGGCCCTTTTCCATGCCCTGCTTGAGCAGATTGCGCATCAAGGCCGGCCCGTCGTCCTTCTTCTTCTTCTTCTCCTTCTTCACCAGGTCGCCGGACGAAGCACCTCCCGGCGGAAGATAACGATGCTTCGGTCCCTTGGTCAGCAAGAGCTCCTCCTCGCTGTCCTCCTCGTCGTCGTCCTCGTCGTCGGTTGCCGCTCCGTCCTTTCCTCCGAAAAGCGCGGTCAATCCCGCAAGGTCCGCCTCTAGCCCCTTCTTGCGACGCGGGGCCGCCTCTGCGGCCGAAGTGTCGCTGCTCTCGGGCGGGGCGTCCTTGGTCTTCTTCCATGCCGCCTGAGAAACACTCAAAGTAGGCAAAGCAGCGGGACGGAGGCCCTTCCAGCGCGTGGGTACACTCAAGGAGGCAGCAGAGCCAGGCAATCGAATGATTCCAACTTGCACGTCACCTACGCTCACCACCAGCTTCTGCTCTAAGGATTCCACGGCCGCACCAGCCGTTGCAATCACTAAGTCTTCGGAAAGCTTCGCCACAACCCATCCACAGATGGGCACGTTCCCAGACTCCGAAATCAGCTGGCAGTAAACTAGGTCCTCTAGATCGGCCATGGCGAGAGAGGAGGCTACCCTAAACAACTTGAACCCAGTTGCCGAAGTGGGGCCCACGCATGTATCAGCTCTTCAGCGAGAACTTCCACCTGAGTGACAGCACTGCAAGAATCTTCCTCTCAACCCTAAACAGCCCTACCCTCAACCCTAAGCCCAAATCCCTAAACCCTGAACCCGAAAGATAAAAAATCTGGGTGGGGGATTTGGGGGATCCGGTGGGGTGGTGGCAATCTTGGTCAGCGAGTGGTGGAATTGGTGCAAGCGGTGCAAGTGGTGCAAGTGATGCAAGATTTCTAAGATTACCAAGAGGACGCACCTAACCCCCCCCCCCCCCCCGCCCTACACCCCGTCAACCCCCGTGAGCAAGACGACCAAGAAGACGCCGGCCCCCCAAGACGACTCTAAGATCACCAAGAAGAGAACACCAAGACGGCCAAGCGAACCAGCGGCTCCGCGCAACAGTAGTAGTAGTTGTTGTAGCAGCAGTAGTAGCAGTGGCAAGAGCAGGACCGGGATCAGGAGAAGCAGAGGCAGCAGTAGCAGTAGCAGTGGCAGTAGCAGAGGCAGTAGCAGTGGCAGTTCCAGGCGCAGCGGCAGCAACAGTTGCAGCAGCAGTAGATGTGGGAGGAGCAGCAATAAAGCCGTAGCAACGTCACCGTTGCCAGCATCGCACGCAAAATGAAGAAGCAAAAATGCCAGTCATGAGCGCAAATACTATGAATCATCATCTTGCTGCGGGGCGTTCTGCGGCAAACGTTAGATGCTGCATCCTGATCCCGAAAGCGGGACTCGTTGGCAACTTAGCATGCTGCTGAGCGGTGAATACGATCCTGGGATGTCTACGGGGACAGACGCTCCCAATGCTCCTTGGCATACGGCTGCCCTGCGAGATGCTTCACCTGGCACGGGCTATCTGAGCCAGCCTGCAAAAGAAGCCCTAGCCGCCCTAGCCGCTTGCAGGCGCGCCTCCAGCACAAGCAGGCCTCCGAGTCGAAGCCACTCGTTGCAGCGGGTGAAGAGGCGCTGGCAAAGGAGAGAGGAGAAGAGTCCGAAACACAGTCAGGCAATGCCCTCTTTTGGGGGGACGACATGAAGGTTTTTGTGGATACCCTACCAGACCGAAGAGCTTTGGCAGATGCGGATCCTTGATGCCAAGGTCGCCCCAGTTGATGTGAATCCACTTCGTCAGTCTGAAGAGCAGAACCTCGTCATCACGAGGCTGTTGTCATGACGGCTTACGGGAGCAGGAAAGCCTCTGAGGATCCGGCTACATCATATTGCACGTTTCGGTTTCCCTCGACCTGCCAACATGCGGCAACACCAAACCACCATCGCACTCCAATCAAAGATGCCCCGAAGGGCAATAGCACCAACAGAGAGAAAGACTGACAGCCACCTGCGTGTAGAGGACGTTCTCGGAGCGAAACTCGATGTTGTAAGGGAAGCCCGGCCTGAGCATGAGAGCGCAAAGAGCAGCGCAAAGAGCAGCGCAGTGCTTGTGCAGCCCTTTGCCTTGGAGCCGCCGGGGGGTTCGCCGGCACGGCCTCGCAACGACGTGTACAAGGGGGTCTCGCGGGGATCGGTTTTCCCCGCCTTCTCCAAGACCTTGGCGCTGGAAAGGGCCTTCTGCAAGGCTCCTGCAGAATGCCGCGGAGCGACCACACTTCTTGTTCGGCGGTCGTGTGGTCGTCTTCTCCTGCTTCCAGCGGCTTCGCGTGGTACGGGATGTGCCCGCGGCCTTGGCAGGAGACGAGACGGCGAGGCAATGGCCACGGCCGGACTGAAGCCAAAGAAAGCCGCTCAGGGCTGAGGGCTGAGGGCTCGACTCTGGACATAGCTGACAGGATACCTCAAGAAGGAGGCGACTTGTGACTTGACTTGGCGGCACGTGGATCCGCTCCGCTGCCCGAGCTGCCCGAGCTGCCCGCTGCTTCGTGTACCACGAAGGAGCCTTTGCCTTGGCCTCTGCCTCGGCTGTGGCGTCGGCCGCGGCCTCGGCCTGTGCGGCTTCTGCCGGGGCCTCCGCCGTGCTTCCTGCGATTCAAAGGACAGATGCAAGTGCCACGAGAGACACGGTGAGCTGCGCGCCCTCTGTCGCATCGTGCATCTGCTCTTCTTCTGGCCTTGGCAGCAGGGGGTCCCACGGGTTTCATGTTGAAGTAGACTCCTCTAAGGCTCTCTTCCCCGAGGCTTCTGCAAGGTCTTGTAGCCCTTCTGCTTGAGCCAGCGAAGGTACCTGCGACGAGCAGCCACGTCGAAGAACCAAAGCGGAAAACACGGGGAATGGTGGCGGCTCAAGTTTCAGCTTTCTTTCACTCTGACGCTTGGAAACTCTGAATTCAGAAATCACAAATGTCTCCTTAGACAGGTCTGTGACCCCAAAAACGTGTTCTACAAAAGGGAAGGGCTTCGGTGCAGAAGGTGCCAGTGGACGCTTGGTCGACCGGCATGAAACGGCACTCTGGAGACGTCGTGGTGCTCTCGCGTCATGCATTCCGGCTAGACGTGTTGGACATCTAGGAAGCCGGCTTACAGAAGAAGGGTCTGGTTGGACGAGTTCGCTGAGTTAACCTCATCTGCCTCTGTGGTCGATGTGTCGTGGTGGTTGCATTGCTCTCCGCGAAGGTAGTGGTCGTGGCGTTGCCCTCTTCCGTCGACATCGTTGTGGTGTTGGCACCGGCCACCACGTCATCCAGGCTGTCCGAGCAGCCCTGCAGCAGTACCGACACAACAGCCATCAGAGCTGCTGTGGAGACCAGGCGGAAGGACATCATCACAACGAAGGTCGGAGATGGTTGCAGAGACCCAGCAACTGTGATGCGAACACGCTCTGAGGCAAAACGCTGGGCACGCGACCTAGTGAATTCTGCTGCCCCTCCACTCTTCCTAGTTTCGTAAGGCAGGATGTCCGTGCCTCAGGGCACGAGAAATGCAGGTGACGTCGATGTCCACGCCTGACACCAGAACGTCGAACGAACGACAATCTTCTACTTAGCGGGATTTTGCAGAGAGCCGGAATCGGAAAGACCAGGCCTTCCACTTGCCGGGCACCCATCGCTGCCACCAAGAAGGTGATGAAGCCTTCAGGATCCACTGCAGACAAAGATCCAACAAGTCAGCCGACGTACCACTGATGATGAGGATGAAATCAGGCAGGCTGGCTTGCGGGGCACAGGGGCGGTTCGAGTTTGCATTGAGTTCCCGGTCCCGTGTGCGCTCTGCAACTGCTGTGCCGTCGTTTAGACATCTATACGGACGCGTCATAGATCTCGTGAAACGCAAGAAAGTGAGCAGTCAACCACGGGTCCACCTCAGGAGTGGCAGGAGCATGTCGGAGCCACAAGGAAGTGGGCCACAAGCGCGACATTCCAGAGTGCCCAACCGCCCGGAGTTGGCCACCCTGAAAGGAGTGGGCCATCCCGCTGACCAGGCTCAAAGTGGGCAAACAAGGAGCGGCTTACTCCGCAGAAACCCAACTGGAGTGGACGACCCTAAAAGGAGTGGGCCAATAGCACACATGGCCCATCCGCCCCCGCGAATTCAATCGCAGGAACTGAAGGGCAGACCTCCCGAACGCCGAAAGCTAGACGACGAGCAGTGCACGCTGAACAGTTGGCATTTCACCGGTCAGGGTGGCAGGCATATCGACTTGCTGACTTGCTCAATAGCGGCAAATTACTTAGGGTCTGGCCTGTGTTGCAACCGATGTCCAGCACCACCTGCAGCAGAATTTTCGGGAAGAGGAAGCCACAGACGCCCTCCCGGCCTTGTTAGCGAAGATGTTGCCAGCTTTCAGCAGCACACCCTCGCAGGGAGTCCAAAAGAGCAAAACAAGGAAACAAAAGCAACAGCTGGTGGAATTCAAGAAGGTTGGCAACAATGGCCTGGACTCTGGGGTCGACCGTGGCATAGCGGTCAAATCGCTGCTTGTAGTACCTCAAAAAGCAAACTCAACCACAGAACGGCCCTCAAAGGGGCTTCCGGCCAGGCTAGGCCACTGAGCATCTGGCTGGTCGTAGTTTCCGAACATATACCTTGCTCGGGACTCCTCGGTGGGAAAAGTGCAAGCCTTCGGCCCTCAGCTTAAAGCTCCAGCCGCCTAGCCGAGGCCCGAGCGCGGCAGATCGGCGCCGTCACCAGGATCTGGTCGGCTGCACGCGCCGGCCCTGACCGCTCACGCTCCCGCTCATGCTCTGGGAGAGGCTCTGCGAGTCTGAGTCTGAGTCGCATCGGAAAATCCCGCACCTTCGGAGCCCAGCACGCGGCCCTTCCGCTGCTCGCGCTCGCGCTCCCGCTCCCGGCGCCGTCGGCCTCAGCGTGTGCCGCTGACATCATCGACGGCTACCACAACCACAACAACAACTGCTGTTGTAGCAGGCAGTGGCAGTAGCAGTGGAAGCTGCAGTAGCGGGTAGTAGCAGTGGCAGTCGCGGTAGGAGTAGGAGTCGGAGTAGGAGTACAAGTAGCAGCAGTACTAGTACTAGTACTAGTACTAGTACTAGTACACGTACACTAGTACTAGTACTAGTACACGTACTAGTACTTGTACTAGTACTGGTACTAGTACTAGTACTAGTACTAGTACTAGTACCAGTACCAGTACTAGTACTAGTACTAGTACTAGTACTAGTACTAGTACTAGTAGTAGTAGTAGTAGTACTAGTAGTAGTAGTCGTAGTAGTAGTAGTAGTAGTAGTAGTAGTAGTAGTAGTAGGAGTAGTGTAGGAGTACAAGTAGCAGCAGTACTAGTACTAGTACTAGTACTAGTACTAGTAGTAGTAGTAGTAGTAGTAGTAGTAGTAGTAGTAGTAGTAGTAGTAGTAGTAGTAGCAATAATAGTAGTGGTAGTAGTGGTAGTAGTAGCAGTAGTAGCAGTAGTAGCAGCAGCAGCAGTAGTAGTAGCAGCAGCAGTAGTACAAGTACTAGAAGTACTAGTCCCAGTACTAGTACTACTAGTACTACTAGTACTACTAGTGCTACTGGTGCTTGTACTACTAGGAGCAGGAAGAGGCGTGTAGCAGCGGCAGCAGCGGTAGTAGTAGCAGCAGTAGCAGCGGCAGTGGTAGCAGTAGCATCGTCATGAGTATCCGTAACGACAACAAGAGTATCCAACGACAATGATAAGGAGTAGATGATTCAAGTCGAGGTCGTGGTTGTGCGTGGATCGAACGGCTATGACTGTGACGGGCCCGCGGGATTCGAGCCCTCTTTTCCTGGCTCCTGGCCTGGCTTGTCTTTCACAGGGCCTCAGCGCTTTCGCGGCTCGCGGCTCTCCTCTTTCTCCACGGATCCACGGAGCCCAAAGGTGTCAAATCGCGCTTCGAGGGCCCAGCTCCGCTTCCTGCGCTTCCTTCCTCGGGAGCCCGACCTCGTCCGTGCACCTGCGCAGCCAGCATCTCGTGCAAAAAACGGCTTGAGGCAGAGAGCGAAGTGAGCGAAGGAACGTTCCCTTCCCTCTTCCCTGCCTGTCTTTGGGCGCCCAGCCTCATCGGCCGAGCACAGAGCAGTCGAAACACAGAGTCCAAGATGGTGCCCGCCTGGCCGCTAGCCTCGGGCGCCGGTGCCGGCCGGGAGCCCTCCACGGCGCCCTCCGTGGGAGCTGCAGGACCCGCGCGTGGATCCGAGGGCTCCGAGGGCGCAGACGACCCCGTAGCCGGAGCTGGCAGAAAAAAAGAGCAAGGACGTTGCAGTTCGCTCTCGCACTATCTCTCCCATCCTCTCTCATCCTCTCCCTCGCTCCCTCCCCGCGCCTTGACCCTCTTCGGGCCCCGCCTGTGGAGCTGACCGGGGGCTGAAATCGAAACGGGCGGCAAAGTGCAACCAAAGTGCACGCGAGTCTGCGGCCGTGGAGGCCATGACGCGCGCTGGGCTCTCGAAGGATCTCGGCCGAAGCTGGGCTCTGCACTCTTGGCTCTTGTGGCGCCCGGAGCCTTCTGGGCCTGTTTGGGCCTGTAAGGATGACAAACTCCTGTTTGGTGGCACCGGCTTCGCAGCAGTATCCGCTGTCGACGTTAGCAGACAGTAACAGTTGCCGTAGTGGTAGCAAGACACTCAAGAAGCAAAACCGCTGCTCACCACTGGCACCGTGTTCGCAGCGCAGCGCCCGACTGGGACCCCGACCAGGCTCTCATGGGCAAAAAACACCAGGCTCTCAATGTGTGGACATTGTCAGGCTCTTATGAAGGCCCCCAACACGTCTTGCCTTAGGCCTTCGGGCTCACCTGTAGCATAACAAAGTGCCGCGACTGCCTTGGTTGGTTTTGCAGCCATGGCCTTCTACAGAACTGCCGCTGGTTTGCTGTACGGTGACATGCCAGAAGTTCGTCGGATGCCTCTTCATGATCTCGGGCAACAAGCAGAAGGACGGCAAAGCTCAGATCCCCTGAAGGGCCCCAAAAAGGCCCTACGAAGCCCAGCGAGACCGACCTGTAGCCTCGTGATGAAAGGCAGCAAGGAGCCAGGTGAAGGTCTGAAGTCTTTGCGGATGTTACTCCCGATCCCTCTGCTCGCGTCTGTGCCGGCGCCCACGAAGCTTGAACGTGACATGTGTAGAAAGAAAGGGCGTAGAAATGCAACACAGGTGTACGTCTGTACACGTATGCAGCAGTATATTTGCATGTCCACAATGTGTCTCCACAAGCTTCAGGGGAGCTGTTGGCAACCCACCTTTGCTGCCCTTCCGGCCGGGTGGGCTCAGCGGCACAGCTAGAACTGGTCAAAGGCCGAAGTTTCCGGAGCAGTCACCTAGTCGTTCTCAAAAGCCCCGATGGCTTCCAACCCCAGACTCTGACGTGCGGAGTTTCCGCTGGACTGAGAAGCCAAGCTCCGAATCTGTTTCGGGGGAGACTTTCGGTCTCTGCAGCTTCAACCATTCGACAGAGCTTGGCTAAATTTGACAAAAAACCACGCAGCATCTTCATGCAATTTCCGAGACCCATTGTCTCTGGAGGAGATTTATGCAGCAGGTCGGAATCCCAGAATTTCATCCATCTGTCTTGTTTATGCTTCTTCACGGGCATGTCTATCTGTCCATACATCTGTGGGTCTTGCTTTGCGTCGCTTGGTGTCGCTTGGCGTCGCTTGGCTTGCTTGTCTTGGCTTTGGCTTGGCTTGGCTTAGCCTTGGCTTTGGTTGGCTTTTCATGGCTTTGTGTGGCTTTGCTTGGCTTAGAGGCTCAACAGGGGTTGTACACGAGCTGCTGAGATTTCGCTCTCAGCAGCAAACACTTTGCGAGGAAAAAGGGAGCAAAGTGGAAGAGGCGGTGGAAAGTGGGCTGAGGCTGAGCGCAGAGGCGCCACCACCGACCTTGCTGCGAGCTACCAGCAGAAGCGGCTTCAAGATCCGAGAACGGTCTGCCGTTCTCACTAGATGGCGGAGTACTGTACGCCGTACCAATCTGGCTCAGATCCTGCAAGCCTCGGTGTGCCTTCAGACCTCCACTGTCGGGAGGCCAGGGGTTCATTAGACCAGGGCCCCGAAGCGACCGAAAGCCTGGCTCCAGGGTGCAGCCTCTCCTCTCCGGCGTTCTCACGGAAACCTGTACACCGTGAGATCCGAGGCCGGGTTCGGCCCGAACGACGGTCGGCCGAGTTGAGAGGCGGAGGCCTAGAGATTTGGGGCTGGTACAAGCATGGGAGCCATCCGACCAAGCGGCAAAGCTTCGGAAGGGCGAATTCCGGCCAGAGGCCCTCGGCATTTGCCAGATCCTCACAGCTCAAATCAGCTCTGCCAGACGAATGACCTGTGCCAGGGGCCAGACTGCCAGACTGCTTCATCCACAAACCACTCTAGAGTCGACTAGAGTCGACAGCTTACCCAACACGGCCAAGCAGCTGTATTCAACGGGTGAGATTGCTCCATCTGGGACCTGAGACGCGGTGACTGCACATCCGCGGAGGCTCTGCCTGGCTCCTTAGCTCCTTGGGCACCCGGCAGCAGCAAGGCCTTCCCGCAAGAAGGCGCTGGGACCGAGGTTTAGCTCGAACTCTCACTCATCTCTCTGGGAAGACTCCCTCATCCTGTCAGGCCAGTCCCACGGCACTCCCTTATCTGAAGCTCTCTCCTTCATTCCCCTCCCCTTCGGCCCTTCTCTGGTCAAATGAACTCGCCTCGTAGCCGCGCGTGTAGAGTGGCGAGCTCGGCGTGGGCGGCGGCCTCGAACACCACAAGAGATTCCAAAGCTCGACAATAGACTTCACTTTGAGATGTGGTCGATCATGCCCCAGAGAAACGAATTGCATAATGAGCTCAACAGAAGTATCAAAAAAATCGATGTGCATCGACGCTGCAACAGCTGCGAGATTTCTGTATCTAGTGGTAGGTTCCCGGCAGAAACGCCGGTGAGGGCGCGACGCTGCAAGCCGTGTCGTGGCCCGTCAGGATCTGACAGAACATGTGTAGCGCCTAGGGCCTAGGGCATGCGCCTTTCATTCTGGCTTATAGACATCTGGAGCCGGCGAGGAGCCGAGGAGGGAGGAAGAGAGGAGGGAGAGGCAGGGATTCGCTGCAAAGAGGCGCTTCGGAGCCTTCTCAAGAGAGAGAGAGAGAGAGAGAGGGAGAGAGAGAGAGAGAGAGAGAGAGAGAGAGACACAGGCGGAGGGAGGGAGGGAGGGAGGGAGGGAGGAAGTGAGAGCGGGTGAGGACAGGTGAGTCCAGAGCCTTGTCCATGTCTGCGCAGGCAAACCCAACGTCCTTCACATGCCGATTCATCTCCGAGACGGCCAAACCCAGTGTTTTCGCGAGCGCCGCGGTCTTCTGTCTGTTTACACGTCAGTCCCGCCACTTTGGCTGATGCGCCCGTCTAGCTTTGGAACACGAAAGGTCCTTCGGCACAGACTGCGAGCGCCGGAACGATCCCGGCTCCGGCGTGACCTCAGACAGAGGAAGTGCTCGATGCACAACCGTCGCACTCTGGTGAATGTTCTTGCCCTCGGCTGCCAACCAGCGGAGTCACTGCTGAGTGGATGAAGGTGTTTTTCACCTCTCTGTCCTTGGATCTCGGATCGCAAGAGATATCCCCAAACCCATGTGAGCTACGAAGTTCCGCGCTGCAAGGCCCCGGACCAGGCCGGGAGGGAAGCGATCGCCAAAGCCAGCCTCCTTCCCATCACGACCCCATTTCAATTTCTCCTCTACGTCAAGACAAGTCACAAGTGAGTGGGCGAAACACAGCATGATACCTGCACCTGAAGTTTTGGATTGCATGGCATCCGTGGGCGAAAAAAGAACAGCAAACGAAAACACTTGAAAGCCCGTAGAAGTCGGAACTCTCGGATACTTCCGTTAGTGTTCACCGCACTCTTGGCACGGCTCTGGATGAGATTTCGGAAAAGGGACTTGGTGCTAGACGTGCAGAACCGAAGAATTCCGTCCACTCAGAACTCAACTGTGACAATCAAACTCGGGATGTATACACGGCTCAAGGCCGGTTCCTCAGAGGCTTGGTTCCCTGACTCTGCAGCTTTGCTGGCCAAGCCCTCTGCATAAGCAGTCCACGCCGTGCTACAAAGACCCGAGTCTCCTCCAGTGCGAGTGGCTCGCCCACGCAGAACCTGAGGCATCCTACAGCTCCTTCTCATTCTTTAGACCCATCTCCCATCATCAGAACACTAGGGCCACTAGTGACGCTGGTGACAGTGTCCACAACAGTCATAAGAACAAGCATGCCAGCAAAGACCAGAAATACCTGCACATCATAAGAAATTAAAAAAGCAGAGGCCACAGTCCCACAGTAGACAGTGAGTCATAGTGAGAGACCGTCACAAAGGCCTCAAAAGTCCTACCACCAACACCAAAACGCCCCCCAACCCTAAAGACTTGACCGACAAACCGAACCCAACCACACTTTGAGCGGACCTGCTTCACTGGCCCCTGCTCAGATGCAGAGATTGACGGAAGATACGGCAATTTGGATCCCCTGGCGTATTTCGTGGTAATTACTTCTTGCAACTGCAGTCTCCGGTACCCGTGGTGGCAATAGGCGTGCTAGTCGATGTTTGCAAGCGACAACTGGCTGGGTACCGCACGGCCGGCACGGCTCTCTGCACAAGTCTAGGCTGTCGTACTTGCTGCTATCAATGACCTCGGGGCCAACAGTGAGTACCGCAACTCCGTAAATCAGGCAAGAATGCTGCAGCTCACACTATCTCACACTGTTCGGAGACATCCCGTGACAGTTCTGTCCGGTTTCTGTAGGCCCTGAAATGACTGAGATCTATACTTTCATCACGACCCACTTAAGATGATCTACGCTGTGTCCAGCCAAAGGGCTGGAGTCAGAGCGCAGTCCACCGCCAAGTTCGCGAGGCTCCCCAGAGTTCCTGAGACGTCCAGTGCTGCCACTGACTACCCCGACTACCCTGACTGATGAGTACTACCAGTACAGCTACTTTCATCTGGACACTTGCCCACAGCCGTCGAGAGCCCCTCCAGACAAAGCCAAACCTGAGCTCCACCGCTTTGGCTCTCGGGGTCGTCGCGAACAGGGCCGATGGGTCCTCACCCGCTTGCTCGCTTGCTCACCCTATCTCTCTCTGTCTCTCTCTCTCTGTCTCTCTCCGGGCATAAGGGGCGGTCCCACAGGCCCACCCGCCATTGCAAGTTGTCTTGCTTGCACTCAGCCAAGGAGGAGGCGGACCCCTCCCGCACCAGTTGTCTCTGTCTCTTGCTTGCTTGCTTGCTTGCTTGCTTGCTTGCTTGCTGCCAGGGTTAGCTCTCTCTCTCTCTCTCTCTCTCTCTCTCTCTCTCTCTCTCTCTCTCTATCTATCTTGCTCCCTCGTTCTCTCCGTATACACATATACAAACACACACACTCACACACACAGAGATGTGTATGAATATACATGTCCACATCTACATATCTACACCTATCCATCCATCCATCCATCCATCCATCCATCCATCCATCCATCCATCCATCTATGCATGCATGCATGCATCTTATTACACGTACCGTATGCTTCTGTATGCTTATACCGATTTATGCTTGGCTGTCTTCTGAACCCCCCCAAAAGTTGAATTTTCAGCCTCCTTATTATACTTCATATAGAAACCCAAGAAGTTAAAGTCCAAAGAGCCAACCAAAAGAACCCCAAGTATGTGTTTACGTTTTGGCTTAACCATTATTCAGTTATGCGTGGGCAAACCTGACCCAAGCCACGCTCAGATCCCTCAGCTGCAGCAAGAGCCTTGAAGGACCAGACCAGTCGACATTCTCCGATTCACGCTTGTCTGATCCAACAGGTTGCTTCTGGAGGCTTGCCTTGGCTTGCTGCTCCTTGCCTTGATGCTTGTCGATCCCTCCGTGGCCATTTTCTGATTCGAGCGGCCGCAGTGCAGGAAGCTTCCCTTGAAGCTCTAAGATTGAAAGTTCGGATGTTTTGTGCCGGTGATCTGGGGTGCACGGCAGGGTACCTTTGCTGCTGCTTGGGGCAAAAGCTGACAATGGGCAATCAAAGCACCTTCTTCACCTCCAAACACCAAACCAAGACGATTAATCCCAAACTTGCTAGCGAGTCGGGACAAGCCGCAACCCACATCAGCCCAAATCTGAAACCTGTGACTCTGCCACGTCGGTCCTCCGGTGTAACGGCTGGGGACCTCAGATTTTCTCGAGATTCCTAGATCGGGGGAACGGGAGCAAAAACAAGGACAAAATCACCGAAAGAGGCCCAAGCGGCCAAAGCCTCCGCAGAGTCTGCTTCGGGCTTTCCCTGGACTTGCACCACGATGTAGCCTTCCAACCAAGAGAGCGTGCGGTGCGAAATTCCCACACAGACACAGAGGGAGAGCTGCAGTGCACTGTCGCGCTGCCCCCCGTGCACCTTGTCCCTGAAGCTGCACCTGGACGGCTGTGAGCCCTGTAAGCCCGGCCCTCTAGCATGCCCAAACGCCGCAGGCCGTGCGTTCGGTCCGCGCCTCGCAGATGTCAGAGAAGCGCTGATCTTGCCTGGTGGCTCAGACTCAAAATCTCAGAACTCTCCCTTCCCCGGCTCCCTGCACGCTGCTCGCTGAGTTGCTGAGTTGCCCGGCAACAGCTCTGAAAGCTTCGAGTGCCCCAGGGCCGTCTCGCTCAGCTCGATCTGGTACCTCCACACGACTTGATCTGAGGAACTTTGGAGTTCACGAATGTTGCTTCTCCCACCTGGACCGGAACAAGCGCTTCACGTTGCTTAAGGGGACCATCGAAGGCCTCGGCTCGGCTCGGCTGTGCCACAACAGAAAGCCAAGACCCAACGGGACGGCTCTCGGCTGAGACACTGCACTGTGGAGCTCTTTGCGCCGCACCCCAAGTTGGAGGGAGCGGAGGTGGAGGCGTCCCGGAGGATCTCCCGCAAGTGCTCCCGGGCCTCCCGTCAAACGACAAGAGGAGTCGGAGAGCAGGAAGCGGTTTGAGCGGGGCCTTCTCCAGACTCGCGAGCGCCAGGGAGCTCAGCGAGCTCGGATCCTCCTTGTTGGGGGCCCCGATGCACCTCGCCGCTCAGGCTCTTTTGAGCCGCCCTTGCAAGGCTACGCAGACTCTGCGGGAGAGGTCTTTCTGGGCAGGTGCACGGCTGCTGTGACTCGGCGCATTCCTCTTTCACCCGCGACCTCGGACGATGCGACGACTTCAGACTTGGCTTCGGCTCGCCGAACCCAGGTCAGGCGCTGAGATCGGCTGTAAGGCACCACTGCGCCGTTGCAGTAGCCTAAGACGGGGGAGGAGGAGTCCGCAGGAGTCCACAAGACATTTCAAATTTCGCCCCCACCCCGCCTAGGATCTTGTGCTTTGAGATGGCTAGCTGCACCAGGTGGCAGACCTCGCAGGATTTCAAGGTTTCCCTGTGTCGCTTTATTGTGGGGGTGGGCATGGACGCGCCTCGCCCAGCGTGAAGCCGCTGAGGAACGGCAGCTCCCTGCAAGAGGTGAGGCTGAAGAGTGCAGAGGCTCAAGGTGTGGGAAAGCCCCGTCCTCTGAACAAGTGCCTGTGCACAGGAGTAGCGACCTGCAGGTCGCAGCATCTAGGCCAAAGATGTGCAAAAGGAGATGTCCCGTGTAGCTCCTCAGCTCCTTCTACTTCCTTTCTACCAGTCCGCTCTTCACACCGCTCCGCTAAGGGGCGCCTCCGGGGAGCAGAGCCTCGCTTTCCGGCAAGGAGGCGAAGTACCTCGAGAGAGAGAGAGAGAGAAACCGGACAGAAGTGAGAAGCAGCCCCCCATCTTTTTGTCTCTCATTCTGGGAAGAATGGTTGCAGGAGAAGTTTGGGGGTGGAGCACGCTCTGGCAGCCTGCCAGGTCTCGGGAGAGTAGTCGTCTGCGGGACTGTAGATGTCTACCTCAGGCTAAGCGCCCCGATGCAGGCGAAAGAGCGAAGAGCTGCGCTCGCCCAGGGCTCCGGCGAAGACCTGGGCGCGTCCTCGAAAGGTGGCAGACCAGTCGCCTCCCTCCTCCGGCCTGAAGAGCCCGCAAAACTCCCTCTCCCTCTCCCCCTCTCCCTGCTTCACCCTTTGAGGTCCCTTTCGCTTTTGGCCGCTCCGAGGCGTCGGCGCGATCTCCAAGTGCTCGGAGTCCTCGCAGAGGCCTTTCAGGTGCCTCAGCCGCGGCTCGGAGTTCCGCGCGGCGCTCCGCCCGTTCCGCTGTCGCGGACGTGCCCTCGCTGCCTTTCTTGGGCTCACGCTTGATATCCACGTCCGGGAGTTCCGTTGCAGCTCCTCGCGATCCGGCTGCGAGAAGGGGTCAACAAGCGCGGTGAACGGCGAGCGAGGAGCACTTCTCTGTCTTCGCAATCTATACCTCCTATCTGCTTGCTCCCAATGGCTCAATAGCTTTCAAACCTCGCTGTCCTGGCATGAACGGGTGCTGCTCTTTGAAGTGGATCTGAACATGGCGTTCTGCAACGCGCTTGCGCAGGATTCGACCTGCAGTTGAACGGGACCGCGGGACCGCGACATATCGCGACATCCGCAGGGTGCGACGGTCCGTCTTTCCGAGGACAGGGCCGAAAGGCTTCAGCTTGTCCACATACAAACTCTCTATGCACTGGAGCACCTGCTATAGCATCCCACTTCATAGCTCCCTCTTCCACAACCAGAGCGTCGAGGAATCCCCATTCCCCGACAGCTCACCAGATGGATCCAGCCTCGTCGGCGTCCGGCTTGATGCCTCCAGGTGAAACGGCAGCTGGGGCTGGGGAATCTGACCCACTTGCAATCTGACCTACCGATCTGCGCCCCTCCCCTATCCCAAGGGTTCAAGAATTCAGAGAGTCTTCTTGTTTTTGGGCCTTAGGCTGTTGGAAGCTTTTGTTTCAGGGCGTGTGTCCAGGATCATGGTGATTCCAACAAGTGGCGCACTGCTCATTCGTCATAGCGGGGAGAATCACCCTGAATGATTATCACGATGAGAACCCTGATCGGCCCCCACCATGATGAACACACAGACAACAGCTAGCAGCTAGCATAAACGGCGACAGTTGCTACAAGGAGCGACAACGGTATCATGGCAATAGGCCAGAGCAAACAAGATGGCATCAGCAAAAGCGACAAGAGAAGGCAAGCATGCATCCTCTTTCTTCGTGTACTTCTCTGGCAGTGTCATGCGCACTTCATCCCCCGGAAAGAACGTCCAAAAACGCTTCCGAAGCCGAGCGCCCCTCGCGCCTTGCACGCTGCGCGCCGAGCGCTTCGCCTGGGGAGCGCTCCCGCGGGCCCCAGCCGCCGGCGGGGCCTGGCCCGGGAGAGGAGAGCTAAGGAGGGAGCCGAGAGCGAGGCCTCCCTGGACCCAGAGAGAGAGAAGAAGCGCAAAGAAGGGAGGAAGATCGCCGGCACCTTCCCTTCCAGCTGCGCTTCTCCGGCGTCTGCAGATTTAACCTCAAGGAACAGTGGCTCTGGAGGCTGGAGGCTGCGAGTAACAAGCCCAAGCCGTCTTATCCGGGCCGGGCCTCTTCCTTCTGCGACCTGCGACAGATGTTTTCATGTTGAGCAGGATGAGACCTAAGCCTGATGATCTATATGAGCGAATTCCGCACTGGCTTCGGATGGTTGTCTGAAGAGACGACGCAGACCGCATTTGCTTCCTATCGGAGCTTTGGCTTCTCTTCCTTCCTATAGCAACTGCGCCAGGGTCCCTCATTTGTAGCAGAAACTCTGAGAACCTTTCGTAAAAGCCCGACTCTCAGTGCGGCCTGTGCCCTCGCCGCCGTATGCCTCCCATTCTGTCGCCGCGGCAGCCTGCATGGTGCCGAAAAGGTCAGCGTGCCAAGATCCCACAGCCCCGTTGAGGCTGCGGCCGTGTGCTTCCCGCAGAGATTCGGGAGGAACCCCGGGTGCCACAAAGCTTTAGAGCTGAGGCGTCCCGCACAGCAAGCACATGAGAGCAGTGCGGTGACATGCAGTTCCCAGCTTATCAATGGGTGCAACTTGAGCGATCCCTTTTTCTTGGGAAGACCTGCCGTCAGAGGCTCCGCTTTGCTTGCGAGGCATCGACTGTGGAGCTCAAAGCCCTGTAAAGTCCTGTAGAGCAACTCCGAATCTTATTCGATTGGCAGCCTCCGAGCAAAGCCGAGGGAGCTGAGGCTAAGCCTCCCAAAGCGCGAACAGAAGCCTCTCAGCCGACGGCACCCATGTTCTCCTTGGCGATGCTGACATCTCACCCTCGTGACCTCCTGCATCTCGGGCCTTTTAACATGAAACGAGCGCGGGTTCAGCGCAGGCCCGGCCCTTTCGTGGGCACTTTGGCACCTGCAGGGTTGGTGGCAGCTTCTGCAGGTTCTCTTTGCCTGCGAAGAGATCTGAATCTGAACACTACGTCTGGTCGGTGCGATTCCAATTAGCGGCACTTTGGACGCTTGCCAGCAAGGCCAAAAGGCCTCGCAGCAGCGTCACGCTGAGAAGCTAGGCACATGCACCACTGCCCCGTGCAATCTGAATTAGAAGTCGGTCCGAAGACCTGTCATCTCCTCTTGGCATGGGGCGCCTAAGTCATGAAAGGGTGTGGCCAGCCTAAGCGGAACAACGCGACACCACGGTCAGCTAGGCCCTGCCCTGGAGCTGCACTGTGATCTCCGAGCCGCCATGGGCTGCTCCACGACCATCAAAGGCCTTGGGGACGGGCGCTGGCCGCGGCTATCCTCGCCTGAGCGAACCAATCTCCCAAGACTGTAGAGTCAGAGTGTATGCTATGACATGATGATAGCGTATGTTTCTTTTGCTATCTCACATCTCAATTGCGAAGGGTTGCACTACATCATTTTGCAGTATACATTATACCAATTTCTATGTAAACTGCGTTGCACTTTTGTATCATACATTTTCCTGGTAGAGAAGGATTTGTGTATATCTTGTATATATATATATATATATATATATATATGTTTAATTATGATGGAGTATATACTCTGTGTTTATTTTAGCATGTGTATGTGTATATGTGTGTATATATATATATATATATGCATATATGTATCTAGAGAGCTGTGATTTTCACGGATCTGTGTTCAGCATAGGCGTTGGGATTTTCATGAAGATGCAGGAGTAAAATCGGGAATAGAGACGCATCTTTTTCGACAGGTCCGAGAACATCGGGCATAGACGAAGGCACATTCGGAAACCCTCACCCTAAACCCTAAAACCCTAATCCCCAAACCCTGAACCCTAACCTATGCCTTCAGCAAAAGTAAATACCATCCTGAATATATATATATATATATATATATATACACATATATATATACACATACATGCATACATACACACATACACATACTCATACACGTACGCGTACAGGTACACGCATATATGCATATATGCATATATGCATATATACATATATACATATATACATATACACATATATACATATATACATATATACATATATACATATATACATATATACATATATACATATATACATATATACATATATACATGTATATATGTGTGTATTTATGTTCCTATATACATAGAGAGAGAGAGAGAGTGTGTGTGTGTGTGTGCCTGTGCCATATGTTCGCATGCATGCATAAAGCTGGGTGTGCATGTATCGGGGGCTGAATCTGTGCCAATAATATCTGAATGCACCAATATCTGTACAATCGCAACATGGTAAAAAACAGGAATGCAGTCGCTTCCAACTGCCTGGCATTTGATGAGAGCTCATTCCCTCGGAGTCTGGCAAAGACCTCGAAAGGACCGCAGAGCTCTTCTGCCATGGGTCGCACGCACGGACACCTGCAAGCTTGTGGCGCCGAGGCACAGCCCACTCTGGGACGTGGTAAAGCCTCCGAAGCCGCCGTCGCCGCCACGGCTGCGTGCCTCAAAGAGACATGTAGTCACAGTGAGGTCCTGAACATGCGATCTGGAGACTGCAGATATCCGCTGAGTTGCCGGAGTTTCTGGCGTGCTCCAGGGCATCGGTTCGGGAAGGGCCGGAAGGGTCTCCAAGCTCAAGGCTTGGAGACCTTTGCTTCGCAGGGCCTCCTCGTCTTTCTCTTCCGAGCCCGGCGAAGGCAAAGACACCAGGGCTTGCAGCGCTCTTGCGGAGGTCGTGGCATCTGAGGACACGGCCTCGTACCAAAGTTGGAGCATCTGCGCATCCCGGTGCAAGAGCACAGCGAAGCCACGCAAGCTGGCCCTCGCCACCTTCACCCGACTGATCGAGAGAAAATCCGGCACTTCCTGCATCTCCCCTTCGGCTTTGGCTTCTGTCGTCTCCGTTTCGGCAGTGGGCTCCCACTGCGCCTTAATTTCCAGTTCGCCGACAGCTGTCGGAGCCGCAAGAGCTAAGGTCACCTTGCCTCGCCCCAAGCTGGCCCGTGCCGAGGTCTCCTCCACGACCTTGCCGGTCCGAACGGCGCGCAGGGACAGGCCGTCCCCAGGCAAACTGGCAGCGATTGCGAAGCCGCCCAGCTGGCAGAGCACCGCCTCAGGCTCAGGCCGCGCGGGACGATCCGAAAGAGCGGCCCCGCCGGCCGCGGGCTTTCTCCGACGGATGTAGGTCTGTAAAGCCACCAGCTCCGGCGTGCGCGTGAGCCGGGGGATGAAGTGCACCTGCACAGGCACAGGAGGCACAGGAGGCTCAGGCTGCAGGCGGCGCGGCGGCACCACAAAGGAGCATCCAGCAAATACGCTACTGGTACTACAAAGTTGCCGTGGCGGCGACGGTGCGGCCTGCACCATGCGGATTCCCTTGCTGGGCCCGATGTGCTGTACCCCCTCCGCGGACCCGGCGCAGTAGGCGAGCTGGAGGTCCTCCTGCATAGCACAGGTATGTCAGTTGCGGCGCTACATGGCACTGCAACGGGCCCCCAACAAAACATGTGTCCTTCCAGCCAGCAGGTGATAAAGGAGAGATTTGGACCAGCATGCCTCTTTCCGACAGCTCCTTCAAGCGCAGCGTCCACGCCGGACGTGTCGCAGTGATGTGGATCAAGCTCGGACTGGCCGAGAGCGGCTGCTGGAAGCGCACGAAGCCGCCAAGCAGGTTGCCTTTAAGCTCCTGCTGCTGCCGAAGATCGTCCATGACCTGTCCCTGGCGAATGCCGACAGAGACAGAATCTAAGGCTGCCCGGGAAGCCGCATGCAGCGTGACTGGGGCCAGCGGAAGCTGCTCCCGCAGCAGCCGTGCCGTGAAAGCCGTAGCTGAGACTGGAGGACTTAGGGGTCCTGAAAGCACCGCCTTCATGTCACTTTCGCAATCTTCCAGCTGGCACTCCAGCTCACCGCTGAGAAAGGCCATGGCACTTGCCGCACTTGCCGCGCCCGTCGCACCCCCTTTTCGGTCCTCGATGGCTGCCTGCAATCGCTCCCGCTCCTCGAGCAGCTGCAGCAACGCCGCGTCTCGGACCAGTCGATCCCAGCTTGCTGCAAGGTCGTTGCCCCAGGCGAAGCGGCAGCGCCGGCCGCGCAGCTGCTCCGCCACGGCCTCCAGCGCCTGCAGGCAGGGCAAGCCAGCAAGTCCCAACGCCTTGCGCCGCCTTGCGCAGGCGCTCCCGCGCTTCACCGCGCCTCGCAGGCCGGAGCGGGACCGACCTCGCGCGACGCCGCTGCCTGCCGGGCTGCCGGGCTGGGCTTCTCTCTTCCATAGCCACCATACAACGGTACTCGACCTAGCTCCACTGTTGTCCGCAAGCGGAAAGGTGCTCTTTAGAATTCTGGTTCTCTCTAGCTTCAGAGGTTGCGACGAGAGTCACAAGTCGCAAAGGCAAGAACTGCAGCACTTGCGAGTCAAGCTCTCCAGTCCGTTATTGCAGATTTCAATCTATCATTACTAGTTGGTTTCCCGTGGCATCTGGTCCAAACAAGTTCCTTCAGTTCGTGATGCCATCATAAAGCCCTCTCCATTGCATTGAAACCATTCCTTGTAAGCTTTCTTCTTGGACGCCGTTGTCGGGCCAGTTCTAGGTTACTTCAGCTCGAACGGTACTATACCCATCGGTGGCTCGCTTGCCATACGACGAATTCGGAGGCGGTGCTGAGATTGCGGTTCAGGGTTTGGACAGCACATTGGACATGACAGGATTCTGAAGAAGAGAAAGAGGAGTCAGATGAGTCGGGTGTCGCACACAATCATGTCGCATGCGTGGCCTCGAAATATTTTGGCACGAGTTCCGACTGTTGCGGCAACGCGAGGTCACGCTGATGCCAAATAGAAGCTGTTCGCCACGGCAGCGATGATTGAAATCCCCAAAGGACGAAGTCAGAGCACTGCCCCTAGTCCATCGCTCAACCATGCTGAGGTCCCGATGCGCCTGCAGCTGCCTCGCAAAGTCATAGGGCATCTCCCACCGCCAGGCCTGGCGCAGAGCACGCAAAGCGCGTGTGCTCGTGTGCGCGGAGGTGGGTCCCGGGTCCCTGCCTCCTGCAGGTCCGTGGAAGCCTCGTCGGAGTCAGAAAACTGCAGAGTTCTGCCCCAAAAAAGGCCCCAAGGCCGAGGTTCAGGCCGAAACGGTCGCCGCGGCTTTCTCGGAAGCATCGGAGGCCCGGCGGTTCCCGCGGTCCCGGCGCTTCAGCAGCCGGAGCCTCCGGAAGCGCCCACGCGGGGGGCTCTCAGAAGGGAGGAGGGGTCGGGAGAGACTGCGGAAGCCTCCGCTACGACGATGGGACGAAGGTGTCTTATGCTGGCGGCCCTCGAGTCCAGCGCAGCGATGACGATGATCGTTCGGCATCACCGCGAGAGACGGAGGAGATTTTGACGATGATGGACGGATGAGAGACTGCAGTTCGTCCACGGCCAAGGTGCAGAGCCGCTGACTCTGCAGGCGCCAGAGCGAGGCCCGGCTGGCGGCAGAGGAAAAGAAGAAACTGACCTCAAAAGCTCAGGTGCAGGTCACAGCTCAGCTCAGTCCGTGCGGGCTTGCGGGCCTACACGGATGCGTCCCGAAGGGTGCTCATCACCGTCTTCGTAGCCTTGTCGGGAAACAGGCACGTTTGCTGTTGTACACACACACACATGGTCCGACGACCATGATGGGTATATTTTGAAACTACGATGATGGCATTCTGCTGGCTGTCGTAGTGCCGAGAGGAAGTCATGCTGAACTCGAGAAACTGCACAAGTGCGCCTTTCTCGCTGTGACGCCATGACTTCCAGCTAGGGCGACATCAATGCCGCACTGCTATACACACGAGTGCCGACGGTCGAAGGAGCGAAAGCATCCGTGCCGGTCAGGCTGAAGACTGCGTGGTTCGTGTGCGAGGCTCTAGCACTACCCTATTCCAGCCCAAAGCATCAGCTGCTTCTTGCTGTCGAGCAGGACTCTTTGTGATCTTCGCCGTCGTCGTCATGGTCCTCGTGGTCGTCGTGGTCGTCGCGGTCGTCGACGCTGTTCATAAGGAGAAGCAGCAGCAGCAGCAGCAGCAGCCGCAGCAGCAACCACCATACCCTGCAGACGTAACTCCAACATGACATTTGTCTGCTACACCCCCAAGGCAAACCCGAAAAAGGAACCTGTGTCGGCACAGCGGAAGGCGGCCTGCAAGCATCGGCAGGTCCAAAGAGTGAGGGGCAAATCGCAGTGCTTCTTGTAGATTGCAGCGACTTTCGAGTAGTGACTGTCAAGCTAGCAGTCGAATGACGATGAAAAGGTTGGACGGGTGAGGCTGATCAGGCCCCACTGAACCTCACTCGCGGACGAGATCCTTTGATCCGAAACACGTAGAAAGGTCCAGAAAACACGGCAACACCTCGAAGTCCAGCCCTCGGCGCCGCAGCGCGCGGAAGACCCGTGCTGCGAGAGCCTGGCGATCGAATCCGAAGCAAGGCGCAAAGAAGAGGCATGCCGGACTGTGTCATGAGATCGGAAACGACGACATCGATGACTTCCAACATGAAACAACAGTCAAAACCGTTTCTGCACAGGTTAGTTTGAGGACTCGCCCAACACGAGATAAAGCGCAGGACTTGCACACCCGTTTGAATTTTTCGTAAAGGGCACTGCTGGCAGGATCGCGCACTCTCAGGTGGCCTGTGCCAGCCGAACAGAGCCGACGGTGCCACCCAGCCTTCGCCCGTCATTCCTGGCCCACACAAACCCTACCCTCAAACCGCCATCGCCGCGAAGGAGTCACGATCACCATGCTCACAAGTACATGTGTAAACGGTTAACATGTCCATGTCGTCGTCGTCATCGCCGTCCTCATCCTCATCCTCATCCTCATCATCAGCATCGTCATCATCATCCTTGCTACAGTCGTCACATCTCGTCACCACGAACACTATGGTCTCGTGTGCATGTCTTTCTCCTTGCATGTATGTATGTACGGTATGTGTACCCAGGCATGCATGTACTTGTGCATGCACGCAAGCACGTAAATTTGCATTTTCTTGCATGCGAAGCACAGTGTAGACAAGCAAAGCCCGACCAATTCGTCTAGACCTGCTTCTACCTGAAGATTGTTCAGGCGATCATAAAATCCGCACCGCACCTACACGGGACCTGCACCTGCTCGGCTGACTGATACCAAGCAGTGGGTGTCCTGGCCGGGAAGACGAGTCCCACCAAGTGGCGTTCGAAGCCTCGGCATCGCACCGCGAGTCACTACGCACTGCGCACTCTCCAATGACTCTCCAAACATTGCTCTCCACTGCGTAACTTCAGGCTCCGGCGCAGCACTGCGGCCCGTCGCCGCCAGGCTGACTGGAGCACCACAGCAGCACGGCGCCGCACCACCGGCGGCGCCTTTGTCCGGCCATTCGATCAACATCACAAGGGGCTACAAAGCTTCTGACCGTGAAGAAATGCCAGCGCTCCGCGCTCTTCCGGAACCCCTCCTTAAACCCGTGAAGAAATACCAGCGCTCCGCTCCCTCCCCCCTCCTCCAAAAAAATGACACAGCACTAAATCCGTGAAGAAATACCAGCGCTCCGCTCCCCCCCACCCCCCAAAAAAAATTCCCAGCTTCCCCCTCCCAAACACTAAACCCGTGAAGAAATACCAGCGCTCCGCTCCCTCCCCCCCTCCGAAAAAAATGACACAGACCCGTGAAGAAATACCAGCGCTCCGCTCCCTCCCCCCCCCTCCGAAAAAATGACACAGCTTCCCCCTCCCAAACACTAAACCCGTAAAGAAATACCAGCGCTTCGCTCCCACCCCCCGCCCCCCGAAAAAAAAATGACACAGCTTCCCCCTCCCAAACACTAAACCCGTGAAGAAACACCAGCGCTTCGCTCCCTTCCCCCCCGGACACAAAATGGCACAGCTTCCCCCTCCCAAACACTAAATCCGTGAAGAAATACCAGCGCTCCGATCCCTCCCCCCCCCCGCCCCCCCCCCCCCGAAAAAAAAAAAAAACAGCACTCCGCTCCCTGCCCCCTCCCGAAAAATGACACAGCTTCCCCCTCCCAAACACTAAACCCGTGAAGAAACACCAGCGCTTCGCTCCCTTCCCCCCCGGACAAAAAATGGCACAGCTTCCCCCTCCCAAACACTAAATCCATGAAGAAATACCAGCGCCCCGCTCCCTCCCCCCCCTGCCCCCTCCCAAACACTAAACCCCTGAAGAAACACCAGCGCTTCGCTCCCTTCCCCCCCCGGACAAAAAATGGCACAGCTTCCCCCTCCCAAACACTAAACGCGTGAAGAAATACCAGCGCTCCGCTCCCTCCCCCCTGCCGCCCATGACACAGCTTCCCCCTCCCAAACACTAAATCCGTGAAGAAATACCAGCGCTCCGCTCCCTCCCCCCCTCCCCCGAAAAAAATGACACAGCTTCCCCCTCCCAAAAACTAAATCCGTGAAGAATTACCAGTGCTCCGCTCCCTCCCCCCCCTCAGGAAACAAAGTACACAGTTTCCCCCTCCCAACAACACTACATCCGTCAAGAAATACCAGCGCTCCGCTTTCATGGTGGCTCTGAGTCTGCCCATCGCGGCCCGCCCGCCTCACCCACGAGGAGGCGTGCGAGTGCTGGATCTGCAGGGGTTGCTTCCTGGGAGCAGGGCGGCAGAGCGGCAAATGCATCCGCCCATGCACACAGCCTCTTCCCCTGCCTTCACCGGGTGTGACGCCGGCTCCAGCTGTCGCTCCAGCATCCTCTCTTCCTGTTTAAAGCGACATGAGAGAAGGGGGACAACAACAGCTTGCGGCTCTTGCAGCTCTTGGGCCTGCTCTCGGAGCTTGGCCTCCAGGGCCTGGCTGCGAGACCACGGCTGGGCCGATGCGCACACGCGTGAAATTGCTCTGAGCCTGGCAGCGGCTGCACTCAGCGCCGCTGCCGGCGGGCCCACGCGGACTCACACCGCTCAAGGCTGCGCGCAGCGCCTCCGCTTCGTGCCGCTGTGAAGCTGCGGTATGGGCTGAGCTCAAAGGCGCCTCCGCTTCGTCCAGGGTGCCAGTGGCTTCCACGCTCCCGGGGCTGCGCTCCCGGCGCTCCTCCAGCTCCCGCTCCAGCTCCTGGTGGTACAGGCCGCGTGAGGCGCCACACCCCAACTGAAGCCGTCCGTCCCAAAGGCAGCAATGTCCTTGCAGCGTGCGCGGAGCCTGGGGAGCCTCGGGGCGCTGGGCGCTGGGCGAAGCTGCAGGCTGAGCGCAGGTTACGTCGCCGAGCCCGGGAGGCCGGGCTCCAGGGATTGCAGCTGCGGCGCCGTGGTCTCCGTTCCTCCGGGCCTTGGAGAAGAGAAGAGCGCTCCGAGCGCAGCGCTGGAATCCAGGGAGTGCTCGAGCTCGGCTAGGGCCTAGGGTGGCCACTCGGTGGCCGTGGCTTCCTCCAAGGCGAAGCGCATCTCGCTGGAGGCCCGCTGCAGTTGGAGGCACTCCTCAGCTTCCGGAAAGACAAAGAGGCCTTGCCTTGGCGGCTGCGTGACCGCTGGGGGTCGTTGAGAAAGCGCGCTGCCAGCAGCTGAGCCAAGCGAACCAAGTCCACCTCCACCCCGGAGCAGCTGAAACGAGAGAGATGTAGAGGAAGGGCATGCGGAGCACAAGAGACGGGTCCGGTGACTTCGCGGGCGAGACAGAGCACATCCAGGGTCGAGAAATGCGCAAAGAGCAGGTGAAACTCATCACTTCCGCTACAGCCTCCAGCTTCTCTGCACGACAGATCTGCAGAAGGACTTCTGGCAGCGAGCCCGTAAAGCTGTGGACAAGAGGCGCCACCTGCAGTTGGACAGAAAGCCAAGAGTAGGTCACACATGCGATTGATGCCTCCATGCTCCAACACCAAGCAGTGTGGTCCCACAATGTCCAAACGAGCTTTAGATGTATGTGTTGAGTGTGGTTGGATGCACCCAAAACCGTAGCATCAAGCAACGACTCCAAACTGTCCAACGATCTTTTCATGCCTGTGGTGAGCATACGCTACCTCACATGTCCATTGAACCCCCTCCCGACAGTCGCACCAAGCAGCGTCCCCAAACTGTCCAATTGAGAAGTTGATGCGTGTGGCGAGTGTGGACTTCCCACATGTCCATGGGACCCCACGCTTGTAGCACCAGGCAGTGACTCCAAACTGTCCAAACGAGCTTGTGATGCAGCAAGCAGCGTGTCCAAAAAGTCTAGAAGAGCTGTTGACCCGTGGAGTGTGTGTGTGTGTGTCCATCCCTGTTTCGAAGGGTAAGTAAATCTGACTCGAGTGAGCAGGGGGGCAAGGGCTCCAGTGATCAGCCTTGCCCAACGAAGCCAAATCACTGGAGTGGATGCAGTGGCTGATCACCACTGTGTACCTGCTTTCGGATTAGCCGGTGGGCCCCCTGAGGCACTGGAGTAACCAACACTAGAGTGACAGCTTCATGTTTGCCACTGTCGAGTTTCCTGCATGGTTGCTGCAGTCTGATCATTCAGGTGTGACTCAGAGCTGTGTTTGAGTGAGGGCTTGCTTCGGTCAGTTTCTTGCTCAGTTCCTGTTCAAGACTACATGTTCTGAATTTTTCGTGCAGCCTCTGACTTTCCCTGACAGCTGCTGACTTTCCCTGACAGTATGCACCGACAGATCAGACCTGCGACACGATGTGTCAAGTGTGCTTCACAACGGCATTCCCTATGGGCGCCGTGTCTCCCAGAGGTAGCTCTGGCACTGACTTTCCCGATTGACTGTATAAGCATTGGATGACTTTCCCTGATTCTATATCCGTGCTTGCAAGCTGACTTTCTCAGTGAGTCTTTACCAAATGCCTGTACCGAAACCTGAATGCTGACTTTCCCACTGACTTTCTATGATCTGATCGACTTTCCCGAATCTGACTTTACCGCTGACTTGTCGCAGGTCTTCGGCTACAAGTTGAGTACATGAGCTGTACTTTTGGGTAGTTGCTGATCAGTTTGCCATGGATGCATCAGGAAAGAGACGCAGTACCCGCACATCAATTCCCCCCCCTCCTCCCCCACCTCTCCCTCCACCCTCCTCCTCCCCCCTTCCCCCTTTGCCCCCCCCTCCCCTCCCCGCTTCTGCCCCTCCCCCTGTGCCGATACACCCCCAAGGGATACTCCTTGTAAGGAGGTGTATGACCAGTTTATTCCCTAAGGATCAAAGGGCAGCGCCCTGCACACGGACAGTAGTTGTTTTGTCTTGCTACGCAAGGAGAGCTTGTCTTGTCTCAATATGGTAAAACCACTGTGAGCCAATGGGCAGCGGAATGTATATGTATGAGCATGCAGCCATTGCTGTAGGTACCTGTTAGAGCTACCCCTTTAGAGGTTTATGGTTTCAAACAGACACTAATTTTCTTTTACCGAAAGCATGGCCGCACATTCACACATATACTGTTATGCCCACTGTCACAGTTGCGGAGTTTTTGGACTCATTATAAAAACAGCATATTAAGTATGCTAGGTATAGCACTGAAGTATACTGCTGAGGAAACTCCACTCCTTTTGCGCACACACTCATGCATATTTGTCAGAGAGATCATCTGTACAAGATCAGGTCTGGTGATGTTCTACTACCGAATTATGCAGCCACTCATTGTGCTCTTGTTAGAGCTTTGTGATTCACTGTTGTGAAACTCTGAGAATTTTCTTATCTCAGATTCGGATCCAGGTTTGGATCATAGGCTCGAGCGTAAACGTTCGGATGTGGCTCATCCGGGTCTGAGTGGTCTTCTTCGGAACTTGAAAAGATTCCGAATAATCTGTTCTCAGCCCTGGTGAAGGCGGCGTCTGCAGTATCATATCCATGGTTGGATGTTGTCGCCTTTGGCTCGGCCTTTGGAGCAGCTTGTGAGCTGACTGGAGTTGCCTTGGCTTTTGCCGGTTGCGGCTGCTTAGCCTTTGCCCGTTCAGCCCTTCTTCTTTCAAGCTGTCCGTCTGAGGACGCCCATGATCTTTCACTTTCATCTCCTGAGGGAGATAAGGCGTGGGCATAAAGGCTATTCCAGTACTGTGGTGCAGAAGGAGTTAGGACTTCTTCATTGTCAGATTCTGATTGGTCTTCCTCAGAGCTTTGGTCATCAAAGAGTGTCTCGAGGACATTTTTGAGATTGTTATTTCTTCGCTCTATCTCTAGTGAGGAATTGACCAATTGATTAAAGACTGTCCTTGAGTCCTTCAGTGCTGTGAGAAGGATTTCCACTCTGGATAGAGTATCTTGGATGGTGTCAAGATGTTCCTTTCTTTCCTCCTTGTCTCTCTGGATAGAGCCTCGCAATGCTTGTGCGATTCTGAGGAGGTCTGTGTATTTCGCAAGAGGCATAGTTACCGTTTGATTGTCATGTATGACAGTTGTTTCGTCGCCGCTTAAGTTCCTGAATAGGACTTCCACGATTGGTAGGAACTCCGTGCTCCACGGTTCCTCTTCATCATATGTTTCTACGTGCTGTAGCACGCGTTGTGTAAACTGGCCGGCTGCTTCTACCGTTGCATCGATAGAGCTGACGTGTCTTGATACTATGTTTCGGCACGTAACGTTAATTGCCTGGCCTTGATTGGCTTGGTCAAGTGCAGCGTCTGCATAGGTGCAGAGTCCACTGTTGTGGGCTTCTCTAGCTGCCTTTCGTTGAATACGCCGATTTTGACCTCCTCTTCTGGTAGGACCTTTTGGTCTTGGAGGATCAGAAGGTACTGTTCCTTTCGCCTTCGGCGGAGGACTCTTAGGTGGAGGTGACATGTTAGCCTTGTTAGGCCCTGGTGGCATTGCCTTGGGCGCTGATGACGATGCGGCACTTGGGAGTGCAGATGTACCTCTGGCCTTTGCCGTGGATCCCTTAGGGATCGATGTGTAGGTAATCTGCATGGCTTCCTCGGCCATTTGTGCATGCAAGGCATCCTGGAATAATTGTGTCATGTGAGGAGTGTTACTTGCATCATCGTAGGTCTGGAAGCGCTCAATGTCTCTTTCGGTGCCACGTGGTCGTGTATCACCTCTTTGGAAAGGATCATTCCTGCGAATCTCCGCAACTTGTACTGCATGAAGGCAGTTTTTGCACAGCACCTTCCTGCAAACATCTCTTGCTTGCTTAAGCTGGTAACAGCTGTCTGAGAGATGGTAGACTTCGCTTCGGGAAGTATGCCAAATAGGTCGCAGATCAGTTGTTTCTCCGGAATTGACCCTGTTGGGTCCTAAAGGTTCACGCGTCTGCGGTTCATCCTCGGGTTCGAGGAATGGAACTCTTTGGTTCGCTGCTGCTCTTGATTTTGGTTGTTGGCGCTCCATACATCTGATAGGAGGCCTGGTAATCTGCTTCCACATCCAGTGTAAGCCCATTAGCAGCAGGAACACATTCCACGTGATGCTGAAGACGGAGAAGTCTTGCTCACTGGTTAGTGAGTCTGGAAGTGAAGTTTCATCAGTCTTGGTAGACTCTGCGTTTGCTCCACCTCGGTTGCGGTGTCCGAACCAGCCCGACAACCCCGCTGCTGTAGCAGCTGTTCTGAGTGCCTTGCCGCTCGGAGCAGACGGTGGACGCGATGCCTTCCTTCTTCTTCTCCGGCTGGAGGATTCGTCCTCTTGTTCCTCTTCATCTCTCTGAGCAGACATCAAGTTTGATGTTTCTCTTTCGTGTTCTTCGATGTCACTTTTTGTTGGTGACGGTTCTTCTTCTAGTCCATCCAGCTCTTCCAAAGACATGTTGAGCTTGTCAACAATATTGGTTCTTTGAGGCCTGGACCTTGATCTTGGTAGATCTTGTTGTGAAGAGGACGATGATTCCTGGTTCCTTCTTGGAGGAGGACCTTCAGGCTCGCTGGGACGTTCAGGCTGTGGCCACTCCCAGAATCTTCCATATCTGTGATGGCTACCTGATGGTTGCGATTTGTCGTACCAGCTGTTGCCGGATGAGTAAACGAATGAATCGTTGTAACCCCAGTATTCAGCATTACGCTGCTTGTAAGCCTTTCGCTTGTCAGCGATCTTCTGGACCTGGGCATCTGACCGGTTGTGTTTCCCTTTTGTAAGGATTGGTTGTATCGTGAAGCCCAATGGGCTATGCCAATCTTTGTCAGTGGGACCCAACCATAGGTCAAGGTTAGAAAAAGTTGAATAGTACTGCTTGACTGAAACAAACAGACGGATATCAATATCCCTGTTGTTGTTCGTGTCCTGCCACATATCTGAGATTCGTTCCCAGTATGTTCTTTCAGCGGCAGGTGTGACCTCTCTTGGACTAGGTGACGCCGTGTGCGGCGTTTTACTCCAGTCAAGGATATAACTGTTGATACAGTCAAGGTCAGCAACTTTCTTCGCCGGGTCCGCCGGTAGACGATCTGCACGTGCCAGTCTGTGCTGGTCGGAGTTGTTCAAGCAAAGATGTCGCACTTGTGAGTGCCTTCCTGCTATTTTGTTGAATGCTGCAAGTTTCTTCTCCAGGTATAGAGAAAACAAACTGTTTCGCGGGTGAACGTCTCCACCTTTTAAGGTGAGCCTCGACGCAATATTATTGAGATCTCCCGCTATTACATCCGGTTTAAAAGGGAGAATCTCGTTGAGGAACGCGTTCACCAGTTCGCGTCTCTGTTCTTCCTTATGAGTCATGAACGAGTTGAAATGGACGATCGCGATGGTGATGACCTTGTAAGGCCCTTTTGTACACCACATCTCGTCAAGATCGTTAGATGCTTCTTGTGAGAAGATCTCTGCGTATGTCTCAAAGTCTTCCTCTGGTGGCTCATCACCCTCGACATGGCCGTTCCATTCACAGAGAATCGGCGAGGGATTAAGAGTCGACAATGTCAGACACGCCTCTGGTGAGAGGTAAGAGCCATCAGTGGGTCCATCCTTG